ATAATTTATTCTTCTTTTTTTTTTTTTTTTTTTCCTCAACTTCATTATATTTTTCTAATAAGAAATTACTTTTTTTATATACGTGGGGATTATTTTTTATAATTTACTTTAAGTTTTTTTCTTGGGCTATCAATTCATAGGTTTACCTCTTTTCTCTTTGTCAAAATGTCTGCCAAAGGTGGACCCAGAAGTCCACTGTGCACAGTAGATACCTACATCCCAAGATAGCCACTGGGAAATAGACGTCCAAGATTGTGCCACGTGGATACATACATCCCAAGATAGCATTCCCTTTTGTTGTCTTTTTTAAAAGTTATTAAAACAATATTAAAAAATGCATAGTGGTTTGTGGTGGGGCCCAGCTCAGGACATCGTTGACCTGAACAGAAATTCTTTATGCCCTTTCCATAGCCAAATGAGATGAAATGAAATGTTATTTGGAATTGCGGAATGAAAAGATGGTGGGTAAGATTTATTTTTTTATTTAAAATATTATTTTATATTTTATATCAAAAAATTATTATTATTATCTTCTATAAACTATCACCATGTCTCCACCTTGGATAATGGAAGGTAAATGATTAGTCTTTTGAGGTACCATAATTATTTACGAACACAAAAAAGGGCCTCTGTTTTTGGATAATTGATACCGTGTGGGGACGCATAAACTGTGCTTTATAAAAATTTAATTTTTTTATTTTTAAATTATTTTAATGCATTAATTTCACAAATAATTTTTTAAAAATTAAAAATTTATTTTGATATATTTTAAGATAAAAAGTATTTTAAAATATAATCATAATTATATTTCTAAATAGAACGTCAAAAAAAAATTAATGATTTTTACATTTTTACATCTTCCGTTAAATTTGCTAAATAACTTTTATTTTTATTTTTTTTAGAATGAAATATAATTGTGTTCTAAGGTGTCTTTGATAAGAAATTTTATAGAGCTCACAAATTTTATTACTTTGCATTATCTTATTACTTATTTTATAAGATTTACTTTTAAAAAAAGAAATTTGAAATAATTTTCATTTTATTTATAGCGGGTCCTTAAATTTTTCTGTGTCCATTTTTTTAAATGGATATAAAAAAGTAAACAATAGGATGCATACCATAAAATTTTTCTTTTTTGATTAGATTGTGCCGTATTCAAACAAACTGAATTGTTTCAATTAATTAGATTATTATGTTAATTTAAAAGGGAATAATTTATTTTTATTGCGCTTTTAAATTTAAAATCCTATTACTTCTTCCTATCTATTTTACTTTTAAGAACTAGGAGACTTCTAAACAAGGTTTTTTATAAATGAGATTTAACATCTTTTAAATTGAATTTTAAGTGGATCATTGCAATATTTTTAAATTTTTTTAAATATGAAATAATAATAATAATAATAATAATAATAATAATAATAATATGGTAAAAAACCCATTATTCAAAGCCATCGCACACGACCTCTCTCTCTCAGAAATAGATGAAGGTCTTCTAGATAAGGATGAGGTTGTCAATTAAACCATTGCCAAGCAAACTTGACTTCTCTGAAAATTAACTCTTAAAATATAAATAAAAAGGAGACATTATAATTAATCTTGACTCTTTTTTTTCTTTTTTATTTTCCCCAAGCCCCACCTTAGGTTTAATTCACATACGGGGCATGGCTAGGCTCCTCGCTGCTGATCCTATACCTAGCCAGCTAGAGAAGCACCCCCACGATTCCCTGTTTAAACTCTTGGAATTTACGAAATGGTAATTAGATTTTGAGCCTTGATATAGACACTCTCTTTATAATTCTAATTATCAATAGCAACTATCAAAATCAACTAGCCGCAAGAGTCAAAACTCGAACATTATCATAATGCTTGATGATAATAATTGTTGGATTAATTTAATTTATCATACTTGACCATTATATATATATATAACTTTCTTCAAAGGGGAAGTGATATTTTCAACCATGGCTATCCTCAACTACTACCTACATGTGGTCTCTTAAAGAAATAGCAAAGCAGCCAAGAACATGCTTCTTTAACCAGCTTCACCAAACCCTCTTCCTTATTTTTTCTTTGGGATGTTTGATTTTGTAGTTGAATATGTTTTAAATTTGTACTTGAGTTGAAAAAAATATTAAATTAATATTTTTAGTAATTTTTGATTGATTTGTGGTTGGCACCATTTGTTTTTGTATTTAAATATGTTTTAAAAGTATATTTTACTTGAAAAAATATTAAATTAATATTTTTAATGCTTCCTAATTGTTTTGTGGTTTACACTGTTTGTTTTTATTTGAATATGTTTTAAATATGTGTCTTATTTGAAAAAAATATTAAATTAACATTTTTAGTATTTCTTTGTTAATTCCATATATTAATATTAAAAATTAAAAAAAAATGTTGAGCTAGCATTTGTTTTCTCTTCTTGATTTATAATCTTAGGGGCCTATAGTTGGCATCGGCCATAAGAACGGGCAGGATCTAGTTGGGATTAAGCTAAGACAATCGAATTGGATTCTTATGAACAGACCTCTATTTGTAGTTTATCATTACTTCAACAATATGAGGATACCAATTAAGCCTAAGTTGTGTTTTTGAAAAATTTATTTTTTTAAATTATTTTAATATATTAATATCAAAAATAATTTTTTAAAAAATAAAAAATATTATTTTAATATATTATTTTAACAAAAAAATATTTTAAACTGAAACATATAATACTCTAAAAAAAACTGTAACATACATTAGGATTAGGCAGCACTGGTACTAGTGTGACAGTTGATAAGCATGTCCAAGTCCCCATTTAACGACCCCATCAAGCCTAAAAAAAATGATTTATTCCAAATGGGTTCATCATTAATATTATATTTGTCCAATTGTTTGTTAATAATTTGGAAATCTATGCAGCCTTTAACGATACCGTCCACTGAACAATGACAAAAAAAAGAGAGAGTAGATGATAAGCTTACTTTTGTTTTAATAACACTCCACAGTTCCATTAACTACATGCTCCTCATCTTATTATATTTAGGGATGATTATGAATGTTACAGTGGTAATTTTTAAAATATTTTTTTTGTTTTGAAATATATTAAAATAATATATATATTTTTCAATTTTATTTTTGATATTAACATATCAAAATATCTAAAAATATTAAAAAATAATAATTTAAAATAAAAAATATTTTTAAATCATAAAAACAAATTGTTATTGCTGACGTCTCTAACCATGATTGACTTATAAGTAAAACTGTTTAATATTTAAGTGTGACATTTATCAATAAATAGTATTCCCTGGTCATTTCATAAAAATTGTTCAATAGTGAGGTCATCTCAAATTATTATTAACCTATTCACTGATTAGCCTTGGATTTGAGTTCGTTTTAAGTGACATATGCCCTCAGAGTTAAATTATATTTAAGTCATTTGTTTACTTCTAATAATTATTCGAGGTTTTTAGGGTTATTAAAAATTATATAATTGTTAATTTTAAAACTTATAAAATTAATAAAAGTATATATAAGATGACTCAAACATTTATATTAATAAATAAAAAAATAATTAAAACCATGATTAATAATTATATTATAAACAGTGTTTTATAAAAAAAATTAAATTTGCTTTTAACCACCAACAAATATCATAATATATTTTTAAATAAAAATTAATTTTAAAAACAATTAATATCATACTTCCAACCACCAATAAATATAAATATCAACTGGATTATTGATCTTCTAGAAATACAGAAGAATCCATCTCTCTCGAGTAAATAAATAAATAAATAAAATAAAAAAATTCAATTCTACAAGAACCCAATACGCAACTACGACTTCGGTGGATGCAAGCAATATCAAGATTTGATTTAATGAAACATAGTCAGCAGATAAGATTAATCATATGACTACCAAAAAGTGGGTCCCCGAAATGTTTTACAAATCAATGTTCGATTATTATTGTTATTATTATTTTTAATTTGAGATTAAATCGACTACAAAGCTTGATTGATTAAATTGCACTAGTTGTGTAATACATGAAAAGAAAAAAAAAAAAAAAAAAAAAAGGGGTCTGG